CACCTGCTGCCTCCCTCACCCCCTCCCACCTGCTGCTTCCCCAAACCCCTCTCCCACCTGCTGCCCGCCCCTCACCCCTCTCCCTCCCCTCCCCCTCTCTCCTCCCCTCACCCCTGCTCGGCCCTCCCCTCACCCCTCTCCCTCCCCTGCTGCCCTCTCACCCCTCACCCCCCCTCTCCCCACCTGCTGCACCCCTCACCCCTCCCCTCACCCCTGCTGCCTCCCCTCACCCCTCTCCCCACCTGCTGCCTCCCCTCACCCCTCTCCCCTGCTGCCTCCCCTCACCCCTCTCCCACCTGCTGCCTCCCCTCCCCCCTCTCCCACCTGCTGCCGCCCCTCACCCCTCTCCCACCTGCTGCCACCCCTCACCCCTCTCCCACCCCTGCTGCCGCCCCTCACCCCTCTCCCACCTGCTGCCCATCCCTCAACCCCGCCCCTCTCCCACCTGCTGCCGCCCCTCACCCCTCTCCCACCTGCTGCTTCCCCTCACCCCTCTCCCACCTGCTGCCTCCCCTCTCCCCCTCTCCCCCCTGCTGCCCTCCCCTCACCCCTCTCCCACCTGCTGCCTTCCCCTCACCCCTCCCTCACCCTGCTGCCTCCCCTCACCCCTCTCCCACCTGCTGCCCCCCCTCACCCCTCTCCCACCTGCTGCCTTCCCCCACCCTCTCCCACCCTCTCCCACCCCTCCACCTGCTGCCTCCCCCACCCCTCTCCCACCTGCTGCCACCCCTCACCCCTCTCCCACCTGCCCCTCTCCCACCCCTCTCACACCCTCTGCCGCCCCTCACCCCTCTCCCGCCCCTCACCCCTCTCCCGCTACCCTCCCCCCTGCTGCCTTCCCCCACCCCTCTCCCACCTGCTGCCTCCCCTCACCCCTCTCACACCTGCTGCCTCCCCTCACCCCTCTCCCACCTGCTGCCTCCCCTCACCCCCTCCCACCTGCTGCCTTCACCCCTCACCCCCTCTCCCACCTGCTGCCTCCCCTCACCCCTCTCCCCACCTGCTGCCTCCCCTCACCCCTCTCCCACCTGCTGCCTCCCCTCACCCCCTCTCCCACCTGCTGCCTCCCCTCACCCCTCTCCCACCTGCTGCCTCCCCTCACCCCTCTCCCACCCTGCCTCCCCTCACCCCTCTCCCACCTGCTGCCTCCCCTCACCCCTCTCCCACCTGCTGCCGTCCCCTCACCCCACCTCTGCCCACCACCTGCTGCTCCCCTCACCCCTCTCCCACCTGCTGCCTTCCCCTCACCCCTCTCCCACCTGCCTCCCCTCACCCCTCTCCCACCTGCCTCCCCCACACCCCTCTCCCACCTGCTGCCTTCCCCTCACCCCCCTCTCTCCACCTGCTGCCTCCCCTCCCCTCTCCCACCTGCTGCCTCCCCTCACCCTTCTCCCACCTGCTGCCTTCCCCCACCTCTCTCCCACCTGCTTCCTTCCCCCACCCCTCTCCCACCTGCTGCCATCCCCCACCCCTCTCCCACCTGCTGCCTTCCCCCACCCCTCTCCACCCTGCTGCCACCCCTCTCCCACCTGCTGCCTCCCCTCACCCCTCTCCCACCTGCTGCCTTCCCCCACCCCTCTCCCACCTGCTGCCATCCCCCACCCCTCTCCCACCTGCTGCCTCCCCTCACCCCTCTCCCACCTGCTGCCTCCCCTCACCCCTCTCCCACCTGCTGCCTCCCCTCACCCCTCTCCCACCTGCTGCCACCCCTCTCCCACCTGCTGCCTCCCCTCACCCCTCTCCCACCTGCTGCCTTCCCCACCCCTCTCCCACCTGCTGCCTCCCCTCACCCCTCTCCCACCTGCTGCCTTCCCCACCCCTCTCCCACCTGCTGCCTTCCCCCACCCCTCTCCCACCTGCTGCCTCCCCCCACCCCTCTCCCACCTGCTGCCTCCCTCCACCCCTCTCCCACCTGCTGCCTTCCCTCACCCCTCTCCCACCTGCTGCCACCCCTCACCCCTCTCCCACCTGCTGCCTCGTTGACAGCTAGCAGGAGGGGAACAGTGGTTGACAGCTAGCAGGAGGAGGGGTGGGTTGACAGCTAGCAGGAGGAGGGGTGGGTTGACAGCTAGCAGGAGGGGGGTGGGTTGACAGCTAGCAGGAGGGGGTGGGTTGACCCTAAGCACAGGAGGAGGGGTGAGTTGACCGCTAGAAGGAGGAAGGGGTTGACAGCTAGCAGGAGGGGTGGTGGGTTGACAGCTAGCAGGAGTGTGAGGGGTTGGGTTGACAGCTAGCAGGAGGAGGGTTGGGTTGACAGCTAGCAGGAGGAGGGTTGGGTTGACAGCTAGCAGGAGGGGGGAGGGGGGTTGACAGCTAGCAGGAGTGGGTGATAAAATGCCAGCCTGCCTTATTGATTACCTCCCGCATGCCCTTGAATTCTGCAATGCGGTCCACTGATACCATACGGTGCGGGTACCATACGGTGCGGGTACCATACGGTGCGGGTACCATACGGTGCGGGTACCATACAGTGCGGGTACCATACGGTGCGGGTAGCATACAGTGCCAAACACCACCAAACACCACCAAACACCACCAAACACCACCAAACACCACCAAACACCACCAAACACCACCAAACACACCCAAGCACCACCAAACACCACCAAACACCACCAAGCAGCACCAAACACCACCAAGCACCACCAAACACCACCAAACACCACCAAACACCACCAAACACCACCAAACACCACCAAACACACCCAAGCACCACCAAACACCACCAAGCACCACCAAACACCACCAAACACCACCAAGCACCACCAAACACCACCAAACACACCCAAGCACCACCAAACACCACCAAACACCACCAAACACCACCAAGCAGCACCAAACACCACCAAACACCAACAAACACCACCAAACACCACCAAACACACCCAAGCACCAACAAACACCACCAAACACCACCAAACACCACCAAACACCACCAAGCACCACGAAACACCACCATACACCACCAAACACCACCAAACACCACGAAACACCACCAAACACCACCAAACACCACCAAACACCACGAAACACCACCAAGCACCACCATACACCACCAAACACCACCAAACACCACCAAACACCACCAAACACCACCAAACACCACCAAACACCACCAAACACCACCAAGCACCACCAAACACCACCGAACACCACCAAACACCACCAAACACCACCAAACACCACCAAACACCACGAAACACCACCATACACCACCAAACACCACCATACACCACCAAACACCACCAAACACCACCAAACACCACAAAGCACCACCAAACACTACCAAGCACCATAAAACACCACCAAACACCACCAAACACCACTAAACACACCAAGCACAACCAAACACCACCAAACACCACCAAACACCACCAAACACCACCAAACACCACGAAACACCACCAAACACCACCAAGCACCACCAAACACCACCAAACACCACCAAACACCACCAAGCACCACCAAACACCACCAAACACCACCAAACACCACTAAACACACCAAGCACAACCAAACACCACCAAACACCACCAAACACCACCAAGCACCACCAAACACCACGAAACACCACCAAACACCACCAAGCACCGCCAAACACCACCAAACACCACCAAACACCACCAAACACCACCAAGCACCACCAAACACCACCAAACACCACCAAACACCACCAAACACACCAATCACAACCAAACACCACCAAACACCACCAAACACCACCAAACACCACCAAACACCACGAAACACCACCAAACACCACCAAGCACCACCAAACACCACCAAACACCACCAAACACCACCAAGCACCACCAAACACCACCAAACACCACCAAGCACCACCAAACACCACCAAACACCACCAAACACCACCAAGCACCACCAAACACCACCAAGCACCACCAAACACTACCAAGCACCACCAAACACCACCAAACACTACCAAGCACTACCAAGCACCACCAAACACCACCAAACACCACCAAGCACCACCAAACACTACCAAACACCACCAAACACTACCAAGCACCACCAAACACTACCAAGCACCACCAAACACTACCAAGCACCACCAAACACTACCAAGCACCACCAAACACTACCAAGCACCACCAAACACCACCAAACACCACCAATCACCATCAAGCACCACCAAACACCACCAAGCACCACCAAACACCACCAAACACTACCAAACACCACCAATCACCATCAAGCACCACTAAACACTACCAAACATAACCAAACACCACTAAACACCACCAAGCACCACCAAACACTACCAAACACCACCAAACACCACCAAGCACCACCAAACACCACCAAGCACCACCAAACACCACCAATCACCATCAAGCACCACTAAACACTACCAAACATAACCAAACACCACTAAACACCACCAAACACTACCAAGCACCACCAAACACCACCAAACACTACCAAGCACCACCAAACACCACCAAACACCACCAAGCACCACCAAACACTACCAAACACCACCAAGCACCACCAAGCACTACCAAACACCACCAAGCACCACCAAACACCACCAAGCACCACCAAACACTACCAAGCACCACCAAACACTACCAAGCACCACCAAACACCACCAAGCACCACCAAACACCACCAAGCACCACCAAACACCACCAAGCACCACCAAACACCACCAAGCACCACCAAACACCACCAAGCACCACCAAACACCACCAAGCACCACCAAACACCACCAAGCACCACCAAACACCACCAATCACCATCAAGCACCACT